TCCTCCTCCTCCTCATCCTCCTCCTCCTCCTCCTCCCTCTCCTCCCTTGTGTCCAACAAGAGCGGGCACCACGCGCAATACTCAAAGACCTAACTGTTCTATAACAGGAGCAGCTGCCAAGGCGGGGGGGCTAGGCCACGCAGTTGGCCCTGGGAAACAAAACCCTGCCGAGCCACGAGGCCAACGAACTGACACGCAGGTTCAGTGGGGCCACGGCGGGGGGAAGGGGAAGAATGGGGAAGGGCAGCCACCAGAACTCATTGGAATTGGGTTCCTCCCCGACCTGAGACGGTCCAAGGTCTCCCGAACTGAATCGAAGCTCGTTCCGTGGCGACGAGAAACTGGGGTGCAAACCTCGGCCATGTGGACCTTCTGTCTCCTCGCGTACGCCCCGCGCGCCCTACAGGAGACGATCAAATCACTCTTGACTCTAAAACAAAAACGCCCGCTGGCCCGCGGCCCGAGATCACCCGCGGCTTCTGGGAGTGAGCTCCTCCTCCTCCTCCTCCTCCTCCTCCTCCTCCTCCTCCTCCTCCTCCTCCTCCTCCTCCTCCTCCTCCTCCTCCTCTTTCTCCCATTGCCCTTCCCGCTTCCGCTATGTACTGTTTCTCCTTGTCGTCTTTCCTCCTGATCTCCCGCAGCGCCGCCAGCGCGTCGCCCAAATAGTTGAGCATTTTTTCTGAACGGCGTGGCGCGGCTATTGGTGAACAAACACCGCCAGGTCCAGGGACGCGTTGACGCCCCTGTGAGAACCGCCCCCGCCCCGTCGGAGGTTGCGCCGGTGCCCATCCGCGGCATGGGCGCCTCCCGCGACCGCCGCGTCTTCGAGGTGGACGTGCGCGAGCCGCATGGCAACGAACTCGCGCTCGACGCGCCCGGCCAGTTTGCGGAATGGCACGCCGAAGTGTGGCACAGGCGCAGGTGGCGGCACTGCGCCGCCCACTCCCCCGAGCGGTCCCGCCAGTCCCGCCTCCCCGCGGAGCGCTGGACCAGGCGCTCGCGAAATGTTTCGCGCCCTCTCTGCCGAGGGATGAGGATGCTGGCGGTCGCGGCGTCGTCGGCGGACAGAGAGGGCAAAAAACACAGCACTAACACTAGTTTTCGGAGATCCGCGCAGATTTCTCGGGTCGGCGCTGGACCACCCCCCCACACCCACGCGGCGCGCGCGGCGCGCAGAGGGTGCGCTCGAGGCGCCGCCAGCGGGGGTGCAACGCCCGCCAGGAAATCCGCGCCGACCTCCGAAAAGTGCATACTCCCGCCGTTTTCTCCCTCGAACCTCGACGCCGAGCCTGTGCGGAGAGTGTGCCACAACGGCGAGACCACATTCGCGCGGGCGCTCATGGGGGGTGACCCACATTCGGGGTGAAGAGAAGGACCCTAGAGGGGCCCTTTTGGGCACTTGTGCCGGCTCCTAAAGGTGCCCTGAAGGGCCACTTTAAGGCCCTTTTCTTCGCCCCCTATTTGGGTTGCCCCCCATGAGCGCCCGCCCGAGCAAGAACGGCGAGATCACTTGTCTCCGGGATGGACAGAACTCCCTTTAGCAAAACGTGGTTTAGTGAAAACGACCTCGGGCTCAAACCTGGCGGGCGCAAGCCTGGAAAATGACGGCCGCGGCGCCCTCTCGATAACCGAGAACGGACAATTCACTCATCGACGTGTCAGGGTGGGGGCTCTGTCCACCCCCGACTCTCCGGGCCGCACCGCACGCCCCCAGGCTTCCTGCCGACCCGGCTGCTCCCCCGGGCCTGGGCCTGCCGGGGGGGGCGCCCACCGCGCCCTGCTTGCGGGCGCAGGCCGTGGCGGTGACTTCCTGCGCGCGCTCCTTGGGGGGGTGCCCTCTGCGCAGGCAAGCGCGCCCGCGCCGGCGGCCAGCTGCAGGTGACGCGTGGCGTGCAGCGGAGGCCAGTCCAGAAGAAACCTTCCACAACAAAAACCCAACCCTGAGACCCCAGGGCGCACATTGATTTTTGGTACGGGCACCTCACGCTTTCCATGGCAAAACCATCGAAATCCAAGAAACCCAGGGCACCCTGGAGGCAAGCAGGGTGTTTTTTGGCATGGGCCTCCACTGTAGGCCATGGCGGTGGTTTCCTGCGCGCGCTCTTTGGGGGGCCCTCTGCGCAGGCAGGCGCGCCCGCGCCGGCGGCCAGCTACAGGTAACGAAGGGAAGTGGGCGCGAAGACTCAAGCCAAACGTGAAGACGCGGGGGGAAGGGCGACACGGGGAGGCGGGCAGCCCGTCCTACTGTAAGCGCTACTCGCAGTTGCTCATGTCGGAGTCACCGTCCAGCACGCTCGAGCAGAGGCCGGCGCACCCAAAAACGTCAGATCGCGGTAAGGTGAGTCTGGCTCGGGGTCGTGATCGGCGATGCGCTCGAGGCGACGGAACTCGCACAGAAGATCCACGAGAGGTCCACGCATCTCGCACACATACTCCTCGGCAGTCGTCATCGTCTGGCAATAGCGACCCACCCTGGAAGGTTGCCCAATGTTGCCCAGGGGAGGCGGTGGCCAAATTACGGGCGCTGGCCAACATGTCGGGCTGGGTGAAGACGACGGGCCCGGCCCGAAACTGTGGCCACGAAGTCCAGCCGTCCAGCCGTGGCCACGAGGTCCGCGAAGACCCACCAAAGGGTAGAAGGTAAACAGCCTCGGCCGTGGGAGACGCTCGCCTGTTCCTCGCGGCACAGGGCACCAGTGGACGGGCGCCCTAGCTCGTCACAAGAAGCGAGTGGGCCACCTCGGCCCAGGCTCAGGGCTGCTCGCTGGGCTGCTCTCCGCGGGTGGAGGGGGTGGGAGCGGAGGGAAGAGGAGGGAGGAGCGATGATGAGGAGAAGGGAAAAGAGAGAGGATGGAAAAGGGGGGGAGGAAAGAATTGGAGGAATGAAGAAGAACGAGGAGGGAGCGAGATGGGGAAGGGAGGAGGGGGAGGCGGCGGAGGAGGAAGAGGAGGAAGAGGACAAGAAGGATGAGAAGGAGAAAGGAATAATGATCGACGAGGAATGGGAGGATGAAGATGAGGAGGACCAGAAGGAGGAGGAGAAGGCGGAGGAGGAGGAGGAGGAGGAGGAGGAGGAGGAGGAAGAGGAGGAAGAGGACGAGAAGGATGAGAAGGAGAAATGAACAGATAACGACAATCAATGGGAGGATGAGGATGAGGAGGGAAAGGAGGAAGAGGTGGAGGAAGAGGAGGAGGAAGAGGAGGAGGAGGAGGAAGATGGTGATGATGATGATGATGAGGAGGAGGAGAAAGGAGGAGGGAGGAAACGGATTATGATGCTGATGATGATGATGATGATGATGATGATGATGATGATGATGATGATGATGATGATGATGATGATGATCGGAGGAGGAGGAGGAGGAGGTTAGGTAGCAAGGGGGATATGCATCAGGAGAAGAATAACGAGCAGGAGGAGAAGGGGGAGGAGGAGTGTCATGAGGAGAAGAAGGACTAGGGAGTGGAACAGGAAGAGGGATGACGAGGGAAAGGAGGATTAAGAGCGAACTGGCCACCGAGGGGAAGGCTCCAGCACTGCGGCCTATACAATCGAACCAGACATGCTGCCCAGCGCACACTAATGTGAGAACTGCACATGCGCTACACGTGCTGAACACGACAGCCGAACTATTCAACATAAGTGTGGAACAGAGCAACACATCACACTCGGAGCATCGAGCACGAGAGCGCCAGCAGGGGAAGGGCGACAGGAAGGGGGCAAGGGCGAACAGGGGGGGGGAACACAGACCTACCAACGTGCACGGCTCGAGCGGGCTGGCTCCTAAAATTGGAGCTGCAGCCGATTTACCACCCTTGATGGGGATATGGGCCTGCTCCTTCTGGTTTCGAGGGGTATACCCTGAACTGGGGTGCTGAGATGGTGGGGGTCTGGATGGGGATGGAGCTGATGATAGGAGTCGGTTCACCGATAGTGGACGGCGCTGGTCGGGCTACGGGCGAGAGGCGCTGGGAACTAATTGCACAGCAGAAAGGGGACGCGGAGAAAGGCGAAGAGGCGAGATCCGCTCAGAGCATGCAGTCCGTCGCGGGCGTGCCGAGGACGTGCAAGACGCCAAGGCGCGGGCCAGGGGCTTCCTCCCCCACACCCTTCACGTCCACGGCGCTGCCGATGGTGCGTGCCTCCTCGCGGGTCGACTTCGCCGTGGCCGCCTGGCATATGGGGATGGCTTTGGTGTTCTCGGCGGTGTCGTTACGGCACTCCTCGGTGGAAATGCGGTTGATAAAACAAAAGAAGAAGCGACACTTACCCCCCCTCCCCCGCAATTCAAAGTTGGCATTCACCGCTCGCACACTCAAACTCGGAATATCTGGAACCAATATTGTATTCGCGGGGAGGGGGGGAATTCAAACCATACTTTACGCGTTAGTGTTGCGCAATTGCTTCCGACATTTGTGTAACTGGTGTCGTCGGTGAGGCTGGTCTCGGGTAGTCTGGCCTCGGGAAGGCCCGCGAACACGCTGGTCTAGCCTCCGCCAGCATGTTCATGCTGGTCGCCAGCGAGAACGCTGGACGACCGCCACTTCCCGACGCGAGTATAGTGCCGCGTCCCAGCAGGCAGCACGACGCCAGACACTCCACCTGTAGCAGACACTCCTCCTGTAGCCATGACTAGTTGAGATGTCGCATTGAGCGGCAGTATCGAAAATCTGAATTCCGATTGCGATGAGCAGTGCGCGGTCCTCGCAAAACTCTTCAAAAACTCTGGGTCCCAGGCTCGCCGTCGAAGCACATGGGCTCGTCCTCGCTGATGTCCTCTCTGTTGAGAACGGCGGCGTTGCAGGAAGATGGTTCGCTATCCATGGCCAGGGTGAAGCATGGGTGAAGCTGGCGGTGTCGTTGCTGGGGGCTTCTTTCAGCGTGTCCTTGTCCAGGATCGTCTGGTCGACTCTGGAAAGAAACACATGCAGCTGACCGAGAACAGCAACGACAGTTCTAGGATGGTGAAGCAATGCGGCCGCAGCATCTACACAGCGGACATCACGAGTAAGGAGGGGGAAGCCGAACCCTTGCGTGACGAAGCCAGCAAAGCCTTTACACGTAATAGGTCGCCCCAAGGCAGCGATGATGGCCGATGCCGCAGCGATAATCCCAGAAACTTCACGCCACAGATCAGGAAAGTGATGAGTGCTGTCGCACCGCGCTTGGAGACCGGCAACCACGTTCCCTCCCTGAGAAGGCGAGCAATGGGCGACCACCTCACCATGTCGCAGCGTGACTCGAGTGCGCCCCATGGAGGCCGGCCCTGCGGAGAAAGCACCAGCGCAGGCAGGGCGGGCTCGTAGCAGAAATACTCGCTTGCGCCCGAATGGCCACGGATGATGATGATGATCAGGAGGAGGAGGAGAAAGAGGAGGAGGAGGAGGAGGAGGAGGAGGAGGAGAAAGAGGAGGAGGACGAAGAGGAGGAGGAGGAGGAGGAGGAGGAGGAGGAGGAGGAGGAGGAGGAGGCGGGGGCAGGGTCGCGAGCGGGAGCACCGGCAGCAGCAGCAGCAGCAGCAGCAGCAGCAGCGGCGGGCGAGCTCGGCAGCGGGGGCGGCGCTTCCGGAGCAGGGCCGCGTCACGGGGCTCTCTTCCAGTGCGCGCGCACCGATGGGGAGGAGTAGCGCGGCGGGGGGGGGACGGAGCGGAGCAGAGCGGACAGCCTTGAGCCAAAGGCTGCAGTCGAATTCGACAACAAGGGGCATAAAAGGGTGCTGGCACCTTGCAGGCCGCCCCCTACAGAAACATAATCAGGTTGAGGAGGTACCAGAAATGACGAGAGACGACACATGGGTGCCTAACGGAGCCTGGCTTGGGCTGTACATCTCTCCGTGGGCACAACGACTGACTGTAGCCCTCCAGCTCAGCGAGCTCCCGTCGTCCAGACCCTCAGCGCCCGAGGGAGTGAAGCCACCCCTCAGCGAACCGCACCTCCCGACACCATTTACGCGGAACCCGCTCGGTTCTGCTCTCAGGTTTGAGCTTTGCGCTTTCGCGTAAGAGGTCCTGGCGAAATCAGCTCCCAGACCGACCCAGGATGCGCCAATATCTTAAGATAGGGATGAGAAGGAGGAAGAGCAGGAAGAAACGATTGCGGCCAGCCTTGCGACTCAGGGTGAGCTCCGAAACGCTAACAGCCAGAGCAGGTTCGCTCTCGCGATCGCGCACCACGCGCGCAGCTCGAGCACAGAGCCGCCGCCGACGGTGCGGCAAAAACAAAAAGTGGGGGCGGAGGCGGAGCGGCTCTGTGCAGCCAGGCGCCCTTCTCTCTGACGGAGCGCCAAGCTGCTGTTCTCCGCTCGCGACGACGCGATGCTGACCATTGCGGTCGAAACAGACTTCGATTGCCCGCCCTGAGCCTCTCGGATCCTCGGGCTCGCCCACAACCTCCACTGGCAGGCCACGGCGTGTCTTCGGTATCAGTGCGACTGTTTCCTCCTCCTCCTCCTCCGCCATTCCTTTTCCTTTATAACTAAAATCAACCCGCATAGTAAGGATGGGAACCTTCCCACTGATACCCTTGCATCCTTGTCTCCGCGGTCCATCCTTCGCCACTTTCGTTGGCCGCGCCCCGCTCGGAAAGCTTCGAGATGGGCGTCCAATGCCTTTGCATCCTTATCGCACATCCTTACGATACGGGGTGACTCTAACTCCTCCCTGTCGCATCCCGAGGCCAGCTGGAAGGGCGGGCCCGGCGTTTCGCTTAAGACTTCCGTACCATTGATGAGCCTCAAGCATAAACCAGTGGCAACAGCTTCACAAATGGAGGGCGGGTCGCTTCCAACATGTGGCTCTCGCCTGAGCGCCGCGCGCATTCGTTTTAAACATTTGCTAGAGCTTCGTGGATTGTGGACCAATGGTTTTAAACTTTGGCTCTCGCCTCAGCGCCGCGCACATTCTTTTCAAACAGTTGCAAGAGCTTCACGGCTTGCGGACAAATGGTTTTCAAACTGTCGCTCTCGCATTTAGCGCCGCGCACGTTCGTTTCAACAAATGCAGGAGCTTCACGGATTGAGGGCAGCTCGTTTTCAAAATGTGGCTCTCGCCTGAGCGCCGCGAACATTCGTTGAACAAATGCAAGCCTTTCACGGATTGAAATCAGCTCCTTTTCATAATGTGGCTCTTGACTTAGCGCCGCGCATATTCGATATCAACATTTGCAAGAGTTTTGCATATCCTCATAGCGAACATACGAACAACGGTGTTCGGGAGCGACTCTGGATCGTCAGGGCGCAACAGTTACGTTGATTTCCAAGGAATGATGTTCTGGCACGATTCAGGAGCGTCAAGACGCAACTATCATATTGATTCTTGGAGTTGAAAGCATTCTAATGTTTTTTGGCACACTTCAGGATCTTCAAATGGTTGTCTCCCAACGGAGCACTTCCCTCGGTGGAAATGGATCCTTGTAAGCACCTATAAAGAGGGAGCTTTGAGGGAGGGCATATTCCAACATCGTTGATGAGTCTTGGGTCTGCTACCTGTTGCCCTCCTCCCACTCCTCTCTGGCGGGCGACACCGCGTCAACTTGTGGCCTGGGCGTCGGGCTACTGGTGGCCCAATCCACCGCGACCGGAAGCATCCCCTGGCTCATCTGGCCAGGGCTTGAAAAAAACTTGCACACTCGCTATACAAGATCTCTGTGTTGGCCCTGCCTGCAAAGGTGCCGTGGGGGGTAGGGGGGGAAGGCATTGAAGTAGATTGGGCTTCCGCCCGCCCCCTGACGAGGAGGGTAGAAGGAAACCAGTCGATCCTTGAAGTAGGATGGCGCCTAAAATAGATTAGGATCTGGGAGTCCTTATGTACCAATTTTCAACGACCGGTCTTGTACACCCGCGCGCTAATCCCACCCAGCGCCAGGCGGGTGTCATGGCGACAACGAACCTCGGGGGTGCAACACATTGGCCACGAGGTGCCCGCGGCGGCGACGCGGTTCGCAGGCACAGCGCGTGGGCACGGGGCTATGCAAAGCTCAGCTAGCAACCGGCGGAAAGCCTTGGAATGCACACCCTGAGCATGAGGCTGGGAGGTCCAAGTGGGGCTCGTGGCAGCAACGACTTTTTAGGGACGCACCTTGGGCCCTGGGGCACAGGGCTAGCGGCATGGGGCTGGACAAGACATTCAGGCGGTGCTGGTGGCGGCCACGACCTTTCGGGGGCCAGGCAGGGCTGGTCGGGGCTGGCGCGCGACGGCGAGGTTTGGAGGGAACGGGGCTGGTCGGGGCGAGGCGACGACTAGCGGGCGACGACGAGCTCCGGCGGGGAAGGGGGGGCGCGGCTGGTCGAGGCACCGTGCGGCGACGAGACCTGGGGAGCAACCGGGGGCGCGGGACTCAGATGCTCAGTGGTCGGCGACGAGCTTTGAGGCGCGTAACTCGGGGCATGCCAGGACAGAGATGGCCGGGGCCAACAATCGGTAGCGAGTTCTGGGGGCGCAGACTTGACAGGGCTAACTGGTGAGCGGCAATGGGCACGGTACAGGGCAGGCGCGATCCCAAGGTGCAAGCAGTCTTCAGGGAGCCGCCTGGGCCCTACCACGCCCAAGCGCAATCGAAATGCCCAACGGCATTCGTGCGTCTCGACTGCTTGTTGGCCTGACCAGGATGTGTCTGACTGCCCTTGTCTGGGCAGCCCCTGCTGGGCCAGGGCCAGCACGGTGCAAGATAGCCAGAGACGCCTACGGTACATGAGACCGTGGTGCGCCGACGGCAACCGCTCCAGAGGCGGAGCCTCAAGCGTCTCCCAGTGCCGCCAAGACGGCGCGCCCGAACCGGGTGTGTCGGAAGACTTCCGCCTCCTCAGTCAGCTGCCGGCGGACCTCTGCGAGGCGGATATTTATCCATGACCACCGCCTGGGAACCGACGTCCTGGCATCCCAGCGGGCGGTGGACATGGACATGTTTGAGCCCCAGGGGGGCCGAAATTATCCATGTCCCCACCGCCTGCCGAGGTCCCCCAGGATCGATCCCCCAGGCGGTGGTTATGGACACCTCCTCGCCTCGGAACCTCTTCGCCCTCCGGGCCGGCGAGGCCCCTCACGAGGTGCAGCACGCCCACGTGGCCGTGGCGGGTGCACGCCATGCCGGACAGGAGCCCCGGCTGACCGCAGAGCGCTCGGGCGAGGGCGGCCGCGTCGTCCTCCTCGGCGTGTGCGATCGCTGTGCTGACCACCGCGCGCGCCCAGGGCTTGGTGGCGGCCAAGCCCACGTTCTGCTCGACCTAAGACGAAGCCAGGACGTGGGCAAAATCAGGCGAGGAGAGATCGAGAATCTCTGAGATCGGGCGGCTCTGGAGGATGTCTCGAGCGCCGCGGCCTTCTCAGAGCATTCTGGAAGGCTCTGAGAGCGTTCCAGAACGCTCTGGAACGGATTCATCCTCGTCCCAACTCCGTGCGACGACCACGCGGTGGAGCCGACGGCGCCATTCGCGGGGAGCGTGCTCCAGCAGGTGCTGGATGACGAAGTGGCCCCAAGGGTGGACGAAGAGCTCCGTGCTGTCCGCCACCAGCGCGTCCAGCAGCACACTGCACCACTCCGGGCGACCCTGCTCCACCAGCCTTTCCAACACGCGGCAACCGTAGCGGTGGCGGGCAGCTTGGCCGATGCCGCGTCCCCGTCCGTCAGGCCCAGCCACCAGCTCGTCCAGGATGAATTGCATGGCCTGGGGAGGGAGGACCACGATGCACTTCTGGAGCACGTGGTTGGCGCTAGGGCACCTGATCGCCTCCCAGACATGCCCGCGCAACTCCTGTGGGTACTCGGAAGATGGATGGCCAGATACCTCCCCTAAGGTGGTTCTTCCCGATTCCCTCGCTCGCTCCCTTCGCCCCCCCTCGATCAGCCCCCCTCGCATCCAACTTATCTGTACCCTTCCTCTTTCCGCGCTACCTCCCTCTCGGAGACGTTTTATGTCCAGCTTTTGTGCAAGCTATGTGGTGCACGCTCTGTTGTGTACGATGTGAGCTACATGATGTGAACTATATTGTGCAAACTATTTGGTGTGAGCTATGTGAAAACCAAGCAGTCAGCTATGTGGAAAGAGCTGTGGTGCACTATACTCCGTGTAAGCTATGTGGTCCAAGGTATGTTGTGCAAGCCATGCGGTGTAAGCTATGTTGTGTGAGCCACGAGGCGGCCAAGTGCGGCGACGCGCGAAACCTTAACATGCGGTGCAATACGCGTCGTGCAAGGTGGAGGCGGCCACGGGCGGCAACGTGGCGAAACCTTGCCAGTCCCACCCAGCGCACGAGGCGGCCACGAGACGGCCACGAGCGGACGAAGCGGCCCCAACGCGGACACGGGCGGCAACATGACGAATCCTCGCTCGACACACCCAGCGCAAGGCGGCCACGAGGCGGCCACGGGCGGCACCGTGGAAATTCCTCGGCACACCTAACCGATTCCTTTCCGACATGTGAGTTGTTGCACTGTGAATGTGCAAGCTACGTGGTGCAAGCTATGCGATGTAAGATATGCGGTGACACCTAGGTGGTGCAAGCCGCGTGGTGTAAGGGATGTGGCGCAAGCCAGGAGGTGCAAGCGGTATGCTGCAAGCTATGAGGCGTGAATTCCGTGTTATAAGCTACGCGGTGCGCGCCATGCGGTGTAGACTATGTGGTGTAACATATGTGATGCAAGCCACGCTGGGCGGCCACGGGCGTCAAAGGGCAGCCACGGGCGGGCACCAAGAAATCCTCAGATTACCGTTTAATTCCATAGCCACAAAAATCAAGAATCGCTGAGTGCAAGCACTGTTTGGGTAATAAACAAGTTTGTCCCAACCCTCCTGTGGATGTGGGTCCTCGTTTCCACTACCCCCCCTCCCACCCCAAGAGGCCCCAAAAAGCCCCCCAAGAGGCCCTGGGGGGCCCCAAGACGCCGCCAAGGAGCCCCAAGAGACTCCCAAGAGGTCCCCAAGAGGCCCCCAAGGGGCCCTAAAGAGGGCTCCAGGGCTGGCGGAATGAGCGAAGCGATTAATAAACAAGTTTGTCCCAACCCTCCTGTGGATGTGGGTCCTCGTTTTGAATTCGCAGCACTGCGCGTCTCATCCTCCTCCTTCTCCTTCTCCTTCTCCTACTCTCCTCCTCCTCCTCTTCCTCCTCCTCCTCCTTCGCCGGGAGCCCACAACTGCTGGGGCAGAGTCGACGGCACGTCCGCCCCGCGGAACTGGGGCCCCCAAGCTGCCAGGATAGACAGCATATTCCAAGAGGCAGCGGGTACAGTAGGGGCTCGACCACAAGAAACCTTCCACAAGAAACCCAACCATGAGACCCCAGGACGTCCATTGATTTTTGGTGCGGGGACGGACGTCGCGCTTTCCATGGCAAAACCACCGAAACCCAAGAAACCCAGGGGCGCCCTGGGGGCAAGCGGGGTGTTTCTTGGCATGGGTCCCCACTTTATGCCAAGAGGCAGCGGGTACGCGCCCCGCGGGGGAACGGCCACTGCGCACTCCTGGGTCAAAGTCGCCGCGTTCGGCGTGAGAGCACAAGCCTTGGAGCCAATGAGGCACCTAGTCGCTACAGTTGCTCGACGCGCTTGGGAAGTGTGGGTTAGAACTCACGTCCTGGGTTACCCCTAGCTCCAAGTCGCCACCAACGTTATAATGCAAGTCCCGAATTTCTTCGGGCTCAGTGTCGCAAGTTTTGCTAGAGACAACACGGAAAAAAACGATCCAGCTTCTCTGCAAACGCATTCCTGACTGGGGAACCGATGGTGCACATGTACACGATGGAGCGCATCAATGCGAGGACGGGCTCGCGACCATCGTGGAGAGACGCTGGACACGCCAAACTCCCAGAATGGAAGCCGCCCTGGGACCGCGATGGCTGGAATCTGGCTGCGACGGCGGCGTATCGAGATGGCGCATCGAGGATCGAGGAATGAGGATCGAGGACCGAGGAGGGCCATCGAGGTTCGAGGATCGAGGAGGAGGAGGACGAGTAGGAGGAGGAGGACGAGGAGAAGGAGGAGGACGACGACGACGAGGCCCGCGCAGCACCTCGGCAAGCGCCGCCCTCTCCTCGTCGCCGGCGGCCTCCAGGAGGGCAAATAACGGAGGTGGACAGAGGAGGACGGACGATGACGAGTAAGAGCAGAGACAACTGTACTGGGGGGGAGAACGATCCCGCCCGTCCGCCCGGGGGTGAGGGGGGGAAGAGAAGGGAACCCGATCTCATTTCCCCCAGTTGGCCGAAGCGCGGGAGCGAGGCCCCCCCCCCCCAATGACGAGTGCTGCGGCCAGGCGCCACAGGATGATGGGGGGAGCGCTCCACCCGCGGCCATCCTCCATGCGGCGAGGCCCCCTTCTGCTAATGACGAGCGCTGTGGCCAGGCGCCACAGGGGGAGGGGGGAGCGATCCACCCGCGGCCATCCTCCATATGACGAGCGCTGTGGTCAGGCGCCACAGGAGGAGGGGGGAGCGCTCCACCCGCGGCCCTCTTCCGTGCGCCATGCTCGACAATGCCGTGGTCCACGCCCGCCACAACGCCACTGTCCACGAGCACGGCAGGCTCACGAAGCAAGAACGAGGTAAAGGAGGAGGAGGAGGAGGAGGAGGAGGAGGAGGAGGAGCAGGAGGAGGAGGAGGAGGAAGAAGAGAGGAGAGGAGGAGAGAGGAGGAAGAGAGGAGGAGGAGGAGGAGGAGGAGGAGGAGGAGGAGGAAGAGAGGAGGAGGAGGAGGTGAAGAAGGAGGAGGAGGAGGAGGTAAAGGAGGAGGAGGAGGAGGAGGAGGAGGAGGAGGAGGAGGAGAAGGAAGAGAAAGTGCCAGGGCGCTGTGCGGAGATCCCCGGCGGCCCAAACGGCCACTTATATCAGGCAAGAAAGCGTACAACGGCATCCCATAGGGGAAAGGGTGAGGAAGGGAGAGAACGGCACGCCACAGCGGAAGTGGCCTGCGCGATGGTAGAAAAACCACCCCCTCCAGTGCCAAACAACGAGCTCTGCAAAACTCGCGCGCGCACGCCTCATCGAAGGGTGCGCCGGCGGGACCCGCGCTGATACCCAGCGCGAGCGGGGCGGAGAAGACAGAAGGGGCGGGGGCAGAGCCGCGGGAGGAAGACAGCAATCATAGCCAAGAGGCCCCACGTGCAGGTGAGCAATGAAAGAGGACAGGCAAGTCTGAAGCTACGAATCTAGCACCCTGTGCGATAAAGTCATGTCGGCAGTCTGATGTCTATAGTTTTTCCTGGGAAAGGGTCCGGCCCAAGCTTCTCGTTTAGAGGTTTTTCCCCAGGGTCTTACTTGAGATGGGCCTACGACATTATCTGAAATCCGCCGACCCTGTCGGCGTGTGTGAGGGGCTTTTCCGTTCGAGCCGTCATCTCCGTCATTCTTTGTACTCGTCGTCTCTGTCCTTCCCTTTCCCTGGGAGACCTCTTCCCCTGGGCTCCAGCCAAGCCGACCTTGAGCAACCTCGTAATTGAGTCGAAGGGAAGCCCCTTCCCTTTGATCCCTCCCCCGCCGGGAGGGGGGGGGGGTAGCGACCCCCCCCCCGGGTCAGATACGACGCCCCCCCCTGGGACTCCTCTTCCCCTGGGCTCCAGCCAAGCCGACCTTGAGCAACCTCGTAATTGAGTCGAAGGGAAGCCCCTTCCCTTTGATCCCTCCCCCGCCGGGAGGGGGGGGGGGTAGCGACCCCCCCCGGGTCAGGGGGGGGGGGCCGGTCGTCCCCGCCTCAGATACGACGCCCCCCCCTGGGACTCCTCTTCCCCTGGGCTCCAGCCAAGCCGACCTTGAGCAACCTCGTAATTGAGTCGAAGGGAAGCCCCTTCCCTTTGATCCCTCCCCCGCCGGGAGGGGGGGGGGGGTAGCGACCCCCCCCCCGGGTCAGATACGACGCCCCCCCCTGGGACTCCTCTTCCCCTGGGCTCCAGCCAAGCCGACCTTGAGCAACCTCGTAATTGAGTCGAAGGGAAGCCCCTTCCCTTTCATTCCTCCCCCGCCGGGAGGGGGGGGGGGGTAGGGGGGGGGTAGCGACCCCCCCCCGAGTCAGATACGACGCCCCCCCCCCGTACCGACCTTGAGCAACGTCGTCATTGAGTCGAAGGGAAGCCCCTTCCCTTTCCCTTCCCCGACGGGGGGGGGAGAGGAGGTCCCGGGGGGGGTCCCGGGGGAGTCCCGGGGAAGTCCCGGGTCAGATACGACACCTCCCTCCCCCACCTTCTCGTCCTTCTCCCCGTTCCCCCAAACCATCCCACAACCCGTGCCTCTTGCTGCGCATTGCGAACAGGGTCGGCGGCACCGGCCGTCAGGCCTTCGCAATAAATAGCCAAGTGAAATCTTATGGCTTAAAACAGAAGCTCATTTGCGCGTGCCCGCTCGAGGAAAGTGTGCCTCCCATCTCGGATCCTCGATAAATAACGCGGTCTGCAGACCACTGCTTTCCCTCGTGAAGAAAGGGCGCGGTGCGTTTTGCGCAGCATCCGTCATGAAAACAAAACACAAAGGTTGGAGGTACTGAAATTTGCTAGAAAATTGAACAAATTATACTGTTTGCGTGCCCGCTCGAGGATGGCGCGCTCTGCGCTCCGAACCCCCGAGGATGTCTCGAGCGAAGCGCTTGTTTTGTCAGTGCGAAGCTGCGGATGCCGCATGGGGGGGGGGGGGGGGGCGGTTGGCGAGTGGGTGGGTGGGCAAATCAGATGCTCAGTCCAAATCGCGTTCCGCATTTTTTCGGCCCGCGGAGGGAGGGTGGGTGTCGAAAAAAATGCCACTGACCAATGCCAAAACATTTTCCAATTTTATGGCCCAGCGGCAAGAGGGTGGCTGTTGAATAGTTCGCCAGCCCCCTTGTGGGGCCACCAGGCTGTAGGTCGAAGGTTCGCAGTTTCCTGTACCAGTTGCAGCTTCCAGTTTCCACTGTTACAGTTCTGCTTCTTGCTGCTTACTGTTCCTTGTTGATGGACCGCGCGAGGGGGGGGAGGCCCAAACGGGCAGGTTTAGCACGCCCTGAGAGTGTGCTCTGAATTGCTGGGGTGGGTGAAAATCAACACCCCTCACGCAGATCGGCGGGGTCAGGATCCAAAAACACATGGGATTTGCCACATTTCTGAAATTCGGTAGCACCCCTCACGCAGATCGGCGGGGTCAGGGTCCAAAAACACATGGGATTTGCTACATTTCTGAAATTCGCTGGCACCCCTCACGCAGATCGGCGGGGTCAGGGTCCAAAAACACATGGGATTTGCCACATTTCTGAAAATCGGTGGCACCCCTCACGCAGATCGGCGGGGTCAGGGTCCAAAAACAAATAGGATTTGCTACATTGTTCAAATTCGATGGCACCCCTCACGCAGATCGGCGGGGTCAGGGTCCGAAAAAATTAAAAAGACTAGCCACAATTCTGAAATTCGCTGGCTCCCATCACGCAGATCGGCGGGGTCAGGGTCCAAAAACACATGGGATTTGCCACATTTCTCAAATTCGATGGCACCCCTCACGCAGATCGGCGGGGTCAGGGTCCGAAAACCCAGGGGATTCTCAACATTTCTGAAATTCGGTGGCACCCCTCACGCGGATCCGTAGGGTCATGGTCAAAAAACACCAAGGACTTGCCACATGTTTTTTAATTCGGTGGCACCCCTCACGCAGATCGGCAGGGTCACGACGTCTTACCAATCGCCAGGTGTGGTAACCCCTCTGGTCATCTATTGGTTTTGCTCATTGCGAGTCGGCCTCGCATGAAATTCCGATACTGCTTCACGACAGCGCCCAGGCCTCATGACATAGCTCTTGCATAGCGCATTCTCCGAGAAAGGGAGCCGGCGGCAGGGGGCGAAGCCCTTACGGATATGATGGAATGTTTCCCCGCGAGGCGCACGGGCCGCAGGGTGGGTGGGCTCAACAAAAACCAGCGGTTTTTGCCCCAGGAGTTCGCCTGGGGGGGGTTGGGGGATGTAAAGCCTCTCGACCCCCTCGTGTTTTGTAGAACTTGAGGGGCCTGGGCGCCCCAAGATGCCCAGGTGGCTCTGGGAGAGCGGAAGCACCGTTATTTACCAAGAATCGTGGCCATGGGACCGCGGGCGCAGCGTAATTTACATTGGATCCTGGCCCTGCAAGGGCGGACACAATCCAATGTTCCGATGGGTCGTGGCCTGGGGGCGCGCACACAGCGTAATTTACAAGGGGTCGCTATCCTGGCAGCGCGGGCCCCGTGTAATTCACGAGGGATCGTGGCCCTGGGAGCGCAGACGCCGCGCAATTTACAAGGGATCGTGGCCCTAGGAGCGCGAATCCCGTGCACTTTACCAGGAGATCGTGGTCTTGGGAGCGAGGACGCAGCGTAGTTTACATAGGATCGTGGCCCAGGGAGCGCAGACGCTGCGCAATTTACAAGGGATCGTGGCCCTGGGAGCGCGTATGAAGTGTACTTTACCCGGAGATCGTGGTCTTGGGAGCGCGGACGCAGCGTAGTTTACACAGGATCGCGGCCCCGGGAGCGCAGACGCCGCGAAATGTACGAGGGATCGTGGCACTGGGAACGCGGACGCAGCGTAATTGACGAGAGATCGTGGCCCTGGGAGCGCGGACGCAGTGTAATGTACAAGGGATCCTGGCCCTGAAAGGCCGGACATGGCGTAATGTACGAGGGATCCTGGCCCGGGGGGGGGCGACCAGTGTGATTTACGGTAAGTCCTGGTCCTAGGGGCGCGGACACGATGTAATTCATGAGGGATCGTGGCCCTGGGAGCGTGAATCCTGTGTAATTTGCGAGGGCCGTGGCCCCTTTCTGCTTCCGCGGGGTGGAGGCAGATGTAGTTCTTTGGAATATGAAAAGGCCTTGCCTGGGAGCGCTGCCCCGTCGCAATGGGTTCGTTTCTGGGTCCGTCGCGTGTGGTCCCTTTCTGGGTCCGCGGGTTCTGGGGGAGCCAGGGTCTGGGGGAGCGAGGGGAGTGGGGGGTCTGTCATCTCCCGCCCCTCCAGTCTTGTCTACCTTCGGCGTACCTTCAGAGTACCTTCGCTGATTTTGACACGCGTACCTTCGGCGTACCTTCAATAACGCTTCTGAGTAACAACAAAACAGAATCGTGGCGCAC